ACATTTCTTGTATCCAATTAGAAAAATCTTTCAAAGACTCATGATGACTTCGGATTTTCTTCTGTAGCAAGTAGCTACCCCATTGGGTTAGTAAATGTGGTGGTAATTTGGTTACCAAATTAGCTAACAGACTTTTCTGGTTGATCATTCTTGTCATGTCACCCTCGAAGACCGCTGCAATATTTCTAACTGAACTGCTGAAATCCATGAAGGACTCAAGGCTCTGGACATCAGGTAAGTGACGTATTTTCACTAAAAGTTCATCAATTATTAGTTCTTGACGCCCATATTTATTTTCTAGCATGTCGATAATCTCATCAGGGGATTGGGCAGTTACTAATAGCATCTCCACCGTCTTTTTAGCTTCACCTGTCAGATTTTTGTTCAGCCTGAGAACATTTTCCTTTGGTGAAAACATGCAAGTTTCATTAGAGAGCTTATATTGTGAATAAAATATTGGCCATTTCAAGCAGGAACTTCCGTCGAATGGTATTAGCTCATTCCCGACAGTTTGTCTTGCTAGCATGCTGTTGATGGATCGTGCTAGATCACCTATTTGATTTTGTGGTGGATGATCTAAGGTACATGGTTGATAATATTGATCATTTATATTATTAGTCCACTCTTGAACATCCCGTGTATTATGATTTTGTGAAATGTCACTGCTGATATCAGTGATGTCATTTTGATAGGAAGTTGTTACCTCAGAACCTGAATCAGAATCCATCTGGAAAATCTCTTCGTATTTCTGTAATGACTTTTCTTTGCAATTAAGGCGCGTTTCATAGATTTCGAAGACTTTCCTTATCTGTTCTAAGTCACGTTGTTTAGCGGTTATGTGTTCGGGAGCTGCTTCTTCAATTTTCATTTTGTTCAGTTCAGCTTCTAAACACACTATTTCTTCCTGTTTTATGAAAACACAATCTTGAAGTTTCATTATTTCATCTTGAATATCTATCAATTTTGATTTCTTTTCAAATCCTTTGAAAGAACTCATTTTTGAACTCCTACTGCAACTTTTCGGATGTGTTTGAGACATATTTTCAGTTTCGTTAACCATTTCGAACATTTCCATAACTGTTCTTATGAAAAATATTGTCAAATCATTGGCATTTGCGGTTTTTTCATACTGAATATCAAATAGAGTGCATAGCTGTTGAAGACTTCTCTTGCTCAATGAATCTCCAACCAACTCGATGTGGTCTTTGTAATCCTTTGAGTTTTCGACGAAATCATATCCAGGGAAGGCCAAAATGTGCTTTCGTATTGATTTACTTGCCGAATGTCTTCCGTACAGAGCAAACTCGAGATCTTCTAGCATTTTATTCTGAGTGTTCTTCAGTTTTGACTCCATGTTTGGTAAATTTTGCAGAACCTTTTGTGAAGCCATTCTGAGGACTGTGCTTGCCAAGTGCTGTTTCTCAAGGCGCGAAGGACCACTTGTGAATTAATTATACCTTTTTGGGAAACCTTTTATATATTTTATTCAATATTCTGACAATTCTATCTTTATTTATAATTAACAACTGACTCACTGTCACTATCAGATATACAGTGCATTGAAATATTCAAGTTTCTTGAACAGTTAGTTTTCTTGGAAAAAATTCCTAATATGAATTCATAAAAATTGATAACTTTTTATGTCATTAAAAAGCACGGCACTGTCCAACAGAATGTTCGTCTCTAAATAATTGATCATATTGATGGCTATTCATACCGGTCCCAATTTGGTATTGATCATAGGACTAATACTTGAGATATAGAGGAGGGGTGGGCATTTGAAATGAGCCACTCTGTAGATTTGTTAATGTTGAATATTTTTCCATGAAACTTCGTACAGATCTATTTCGGCTCCAGAATACACCTTTCCCCCTCTATATTTCAGAAAAAAAAATCGCTCCATGAATAAAAATTTTGAGGGTGTCCGCTTTTAAATAGGTCACTGTGTATATTCGATCTTTTGTGGTTATGTGTATCCAGTAATATCTAAGCCTGTCTGAAACCTTGAAGACTTTTCGAGATGTCTGATTTCTGTTTAGCTTCTTATCTTATAATTCTGGTATAAGGTTCTGGACCCACGAATGGTGTTTGAACTCCTTTTGAAGCGAGTTTGTCTCCTATTTTATTTCCTTCCACTCCAGAAAAAGTCTCTGACCCGGAACCCATAGAAGGGTGTCTGTATTTCTGTTGGCTAGCTCGTACAAATTTTACCGGCATTCCCAAAACATTTTATAGCTGGTAGCCATATAGCTTAGCGCTTTAATGGCTAGTTAACTAACGGACATGATTATGACATCTCTTGAGATAATGGGCGTGTACACCTCAGTAGAACTTGCAACTCAAACCATGTTTATAATGATCCTTTTATACCTAAATGATGATTGACGACATAATTTGATCGAAAAATTAATTGGAATGTTTTATTTTTAGACATAAATAATAGTACCATCTGAAAACGGACCCTTTTATGACGTAGAAACCTCATCTCGCCATAGTTAAAAGAAAATACCAAACGCCCGACGGAGACTGAGGCAACTGATATATTAATTCTTTCAACTGTGATCTCGCGCTAATTCACTCTGTCAGAAATCATGTATCATTCATTTCTGTCTGGAATAGTCTTGTTTCAGTATTAGGGTTTTGACATCACATCATCGCCTTGTTTTCAGAGGTCCGAAAAATCGGGGATTTCAATAATTTTTTATAAAACGTAGGGAGCTCACAGCAAGAAACGGTTTGCGGTGGTGAGCTAGTTTGGGTGAATTCTATCGAATTATGAAACAAAAATTTTTTGTGATATAAGCCCATTTCAATGAAAGCTCTTCATAACCATAGGAAAATCCTTTAGACTCGCCTTTAGATTTGGGTGAGGTATAGGTATCACATGAAAATGAGAGGTCAACTCAATTGCAATACTTGAATTTCACGGGTAACTGCGCATTTTCGTATTTTTTAGGAAATTGCACCATTTCTTCAGGGAGCACCAATTGATAGTGAGTGAAAAGTGGAGATAGGGACATGTAAACCGTTTCGACGAATAATGAACAGTTTCGACAGAAAAAAATCCTGAACTTGGAAAAATCTCGATTTTGCACACCCTATATGTCAGTAACTTTCACTGCTAGACCCTAAGTATGATACGTCGTTGAAATCAGATCTTCAGGGAGAATTCAAAAATGAAATAAAATATAGGGTGTTCTAATGAAAATAACATAGCTCTGATGTGCTGTGACCTTACGGAACACCCTGTGTATTTCAAGGAAATTTTGAAATGTGAAGCTTGGTTATTACTCCAATTTTGATTCATGATTTTTTTTTGTATCTCTCAAGACAACAGAGGTATTGAACTCTGGATTCTTAGTTGGCCACCCTGTACTTGAGGATGTACCTAAACTATGTAGGAAAAATAATTTCATGAAGTTAGTGTAGGTACTTGAAGCCCAAAGCTAAACTTGTATTAGGATGAGTGACATTGGAGATTTTCAAACGGACATGACAGATTTTGAAAATAAATTACCACCTGAAACACAATGGAAATCAAAATATCACTAATGGAATAAATTATCTCAATTGAGCTGTCTACAATGAACAATAATATTATTCAAACAGAAAAAATCAGCTTCAAGAAATAGAAAAAAATACCCACATAAGTGTAAATTCTGCATGAAAATGATGACTCAGGAGCAAAATTGAAAGTAAGTAAAATACTTATTCTCCTACTCATCCAAATTCAGATCTACATGTCTGCTGAGAACATGTGGAGATTTTTTCTTCATCTCTTGGAGTGCAGGAAAGGAAATTCCAGAGGAAATTCCTATAATGTTTCAAGAACATCATGGACACATGCTTACTTAGGGAACGATAGGGAGAGAAGGTAGGTGTTGGACTAGTATACATACCTACCAGCTTTGGCCCTGCCTCAATATAATAAAAATATATGCATGATGGACAGTGTGGAATTATGAAAATACATTTCAAACTAGTATTTGGAGGAAATTCATATATTTATTTTTCTGGACATAAAAATAATTTGGATAGTTAAACTGTAGAATACTTATATCTGCTATGAGAAGTTTGTGTCTGGGTTTGTGTTTGGGATATTTCAGCTACTATTTCCCAATTTCAAGAAACACACAGAGGGAAATAAGTATTATGGTATTTTCAAAGGGAATACATATGTTTAGAAAAATTGTTAATGGGCATAAAAAATAATAATAATAAAATAATTTTGGAGCATGTTCTCCCCTCAACAGATATACAAACTGTTCATAGACCATCTGGAAGTTTTCTGGCATATTAGCTCTAATTGTTTTCACAAAACAATGGAGACCATTTTGAACAATTCATAAAGTAATTAATTAGAACTGTATATCATTTTTCTCATCATCATAATGAATTACAACCCAAATATTTGTAGGTTTTCAAAAAAAAGCAAAATAATTGAAGGTTGTCATTTAAAATTTTAGGGGTAGTTGTCTTAACTGTGAAGGGTTTAAATGTTGGAGAAATATTGAGTGCTGCCTATTTTCAAATTGTCACTCTGTATGTGGTTCATAAGGTTATTACCTTAGATCATACAGGATCTAAGGTTATTACACTTTATTGAAATTTCAATAAATATCAGGTACTGTCACTGTAAAATTTGAATGAACCAATTGCAGACATAAATATCAACCATGTATATTCAATGAAGTTCCACAATATCTCAATTGAACATTTTGATCCCTGTGGACAAGACTTGTCTTATTTAGATGGTGTCATCACACCTGGAAAACCATTTTGTGTAGCTAATTCCTCAACTTTTGATTAAAATGATTATTGTTTTGCAATCTGTAGTCCTGATGAGTTTATTAATCATTTTTGTAATTATGCCTGACTGTCCTTACTTTAGGAATGTGGTGATCAAAAATATTGAATCCATCAAGGAACTCTACCACTACCTACAGGTAACTTTTCAAGTTTCATGAACAAACCCTGACTACTTCAAGTAATCTACTTACCATTCCTCCAAACAAGGGGCACAAAAACTATGTGCACATGGCAACATTATATCCCTTTTTCTATCAAAACAAATGCAACATTCACTTTGACTTTCTGTGCTTGATTCAGATACCCTATCCAAAATGCTGGAAATTGTCATATCTGGTGAAGCACTAGAGCTGAAAAAACAGTGTGAGCCATTGATAATTCAAATTTTCACATCACTTTCTACCTTCCACAATGTTCTACAGCTAAACTTTGACACTTCAATGTTTTAAATACTTTGAGAAATTCACTTAGAGTAAAGAGCCTGAAGGTTGCCACTTTTTGGGATGCAGCATCAATCTTTACACAAGCAATTTGGACAGTAGCTTTCCAAAATATTGTAGAATCTGTATCTTTCTTAACAGCAAAAACCATTTGATTTCCATTTAAGTCTAACCATTTCTTTGATCTAAAACAAGGCTCATCTAATTGAAAAAACCATATACCAATATCAATATACTTACAAGAGATTCAATTCCTCAAGGAAAGTTAAAAATTGTTCATATGAAAGTCCATTGATTTCTTCAGAAAGAAGAGTATTTACAGGTTCTTCACTCAAGAGAGTACTAATAGCATCTTGAAATTGTGAGTTATTCGACCCCATAATAGGAATTTCCTTTCATAATATCATGTTTTGAAAATAGTAGTTTTGGTATTTCTGTATTGGGACTGGCTACTGCACGGTCCGACCATTCACTAATTTAGCGTTCGGGGCCGGTCCGACCGTACAATAACATTTTGTTCGGAGCCGGTCCGAATACTTCGACACTCGTCTTGGCCAGGCCAATGACGGCTAAATGGACTGTCTGACGGGTTATACATGACTGTTCATTCAGCGAAAATCACCAAATCGCCCTGTAATGAAATTTGGAAGGGACGGCAAGTGGCGTCATCTATTTCCTGTGTCAAATGAGCTATTCAACATAACCTGCATTCATGATCCTGCATTATTTGTTGACAAATTTTCTCACTGTCAGCCTCTGTCACTTATTGTCACTCGAGATTGGAGAGCTTTGTTCGAGATACCAAGTAAAACTGTGAAAAGGCCAACAAAATGAACTGGTTAGGAGTGTTCATGCCAAATAACGCTATTATATGCATAAATAATAATGCAATTCAAGTGGAAATCATCTTTCGTCAATTCGTGAATAGGTAAGGACATGTTCAATTATTTCATTGATTGAATTTTTAACTGCCTAATAAGAGCCATGGTAGCCCTAATAACCAGATACTGTTGTATTCTCAAAGTGAAATGTACTGCAACATTTCATATTGTTTCACAAAATCTGTGATCTCAAGTGATATTTCTCAATTTGTATTTTCAGGAAGATACTGAATTTTCTCAACACAATGTTGAAGCAGCTCTTCATGAGGTTTGATTGAATGATGACTGGAGACATTCAATTCTGATGATGCTATCTATGCATAACTAGAATATTTACTATAAGGTGAGCTTTGTGAACAGTTGTTTAATTAGGTGAGGGTTCAGAAAAATAATCAGGCATTTTAACTACAATATCAGGTATCTCCATGAATAGCAAATTAAATATCAATTTATCATTTCATACTTATATATTTCATATCAGATATACAGATAAATTGTATTGCAAAATTGATAGAACTATGCCAGCTTCAAAATCATTAAATTTTCTATAGCAACATTTCTTTATAGGTTCTGGGGATGGCAACACAATGAATATAAAACGGCTTGGATATGGGATCTTGACTTTGCATGGAGAATGAAGCTAGGTTACCTGGAGATCCTTTGGACACTGGAAATAAAAGAGGAAGATGATATATTATTGTGTATCCCACAATTTCTATTATCTGTTCAGAAATCAGCAGAGAAGAAGCATATTTTGAGTTCAAATATATAAGCTCATCATCAGCTAATTTAATGGAAAAAGAAATTGTTTATTTTGGTGACTGTCTATGGAATAAAATTATTATATTACTTTCTATACATATCATCTATCTATCAATCCATATTTTTCAACCATTTTCAAAACTTTGTGGAGACAGAAATAGTTATATGCATTTCAAATGTTGAGTTTGCACTCTTTTCATCTTTTTAGATCTACTTGGGGAAGCTATAGTTAGTGGGCTATTATATCAGTGACAACATTTTACTTTATTTCACATACCATCTCATACTTCTATCAAGAAAACAAGAAAGCTATACAGGATCTCATTGATAGATGGGCATACATAGTACATAAACTTAGGCCAAATAATTAATTTAAATTTCTTGTGACAAAATCATCACAGCAGTGAAAAACATTTTTGAAAATCTCTGATAGTATCATTATTCTGTGATATTTGCCAGGAAGCAAGAACACAAAATACCTCAAATTGTAGTTGTGGCACTCGAAAAAACTCCAGATGTTGGCCTAGACTGATGATTCTCTGGGATTCAAAGAGCATACCTTAAATTCCATTCCTCTTTCATTCTTGGTGTTGCTTTTTGGGATGCCCATTCTGTAGGTATATGGTCATTTAAGAGTTTTCAACAATACTACTCCTATCCTACCTAGCTACGCAACAACAATGCAGGCTAAACATACCTTGAAAATTATGGTAAGCAATCCTTTCTGAATGTAGATCCGATCACTCTATAGTATCTTCCAAAATCATTGACACAAACTTCAACACCAGAATTAACACAGGTGTTCTAATGGTGGAATCCAGGCTGAAATTGAAAATCATCAGAAAAATGTACATGAAAAATCATATTCTTACCAATGCCTTCCAAAATAAAATTCGACCATTCTTGCTGTGGAGTTTATCACTGGGTATGAGTACTACATTTCATTTCATACGATAGGCTGTGAATACATGATGAAGACACAACTAGCAAACCTGAATAAATAAACTACCAGAACTAAACACAAAGAAGAATGCTTGATTGAACGAAAATCCGAAAAAGTAAAGGAATTTATCGATATTCAACAGAACACATCAGGGACCTGACAGTGACACAGTTTTGACACTTGATAAAATAATAATAATTCAATATAACCTATGTTATTGGAAAACAACCGAATGAGAGCTAAACAAATGACTTCTCCGCAAAGGACGGCAAGTAAACCCCTCTGGTGGAGAATACACTGAACTGAGTGATTGGACAGTCATGTAGTACTCGTCAGACAGTCCATTTAGCCGTCATTGGCCAGGCAGCATAAATTGACAGAATTGAAAAATTGAATTTTTTTTTAACAATCAATCGACCTAGATGAACCTTTTTTCTTGAAGAAGGAGAATTTTTCTTGAGGAAGGAAAATATTGTTTCTGCATAAAAAATGAGAAGGCGGTACATATACTAAAAATTGGAACGATACAGAGAATATTAGCATGGCCCCTGCGCAAGGATGACACGCAAAATCGTAAAGCGTTCCACATTTTTAGTATATGTACTCGCTTCGGCGGTACATATACTATTTATGAGTATATCTGTACTTGTATTAACACCAAATAAAATATTCTATTCTATTCTAACCTAACCTAACCGAACCTCACCTCTGGCCTAAACATAGAAAACCCCTAAATAAACCTATTTCCCATAGAGAATATTTTTTAGAAATCACTTGAGAACAAGAAAAAAATAAAAAAAAAGATGAACCTCGCACGGATTCGAACCCCGGCCCACCGGCTTGGCATGCCGATGCTCTGCTCACTGAGCCAACCAGTTGCTTACGAGACGAAGTATGAACAATATATTATTGTACGGTCGGACCGGCCCCGAACAAAATGTTATTGTACGGTCGGACCGGCCCCCAACAAAATGTTATTGTACGGTCGGACCGGCCCCGAACGCTAAATTAGTGAACGGTCGGACCGTGCAGTAGCCAGTATCTTCTGTATTTTCATCAAAATTATTGATACTGTTTAGTCTCAAGTTTTCATCATTTCATCATCCCAACCTCTCTAAATCTTCTTCTCAGGAGTTATCAGTTCTGATTTTCTTTAGCACTTTGATCAGATGAAACGAATTCAAAAAACCACTACTTCCGTACCTCCACTACTTCCAGCTTGCTCGATTGAGCGAGATCTCGCCACTGAACTAAATGAACTATAACCATCTCACTCGTTTTGTCACTAACACTAAGTTTACCTCTTTACTCTCTCGCTTCGCTCCTCTTTGCGTTGATTGATATATTACGCTTATCAATCAACGCTCTTTGTCAAGTCTTGTTCGTTGTTTGTTATCTGACGTTGCCATGACATAAAAACTACGTAAGAACATGTCTAACTTTCAAATTCAATCTAAGCCAGGAGTTAGGAATGTTTTCCCGTAGTTTTGACTATTAATATAGTAACTCTAGTTTTGACTAGAGTCACTGGATGTTATTAGTTTGATAATACCATCCAGTGACTCTAGTTTTGACTACCGCGAATTCAACAACGAGGAATCAACTCTTCTTACTCATTAATCAAATCACCATCCCACTCATCTCATTACCCACAAACAGGCCTATTCAGTACAAATTCGTAATTTAACGAGTCTATATTTCAATATACAGAGAATCGAATTCATCGCTATCGCCGTTATAAAAAAATCAAAAGTCGTGGTTGTTTGAATTCTGTTGTCATCAGTTTTCGTCAATATTTTGTGGCAAGATCTATTCAAGAGGCCAATAAAAATAAAAGAAGAAGTGTTTGACACATTATCGTGACTAGCTTCAGGCACATTTTATTTATCAAAATTTAATGGATGATGACATGTACTGTGTTGAAATTTCGTCGGTGATAACTTAAATCCGTATATCTACATAATTTGATCGAGATTCTTTGATAATTTCTCGAAAAATGGATTTTGGGCAAATACTACACACTGCCAAGAAAAACGAGCATGCAAATAAAAATGGGGTAAGTATAAAATTATTATAATTTTATCAACTTCTGATACCTACCTAGGTATAGTATTTCAATTCTCTGTTGAGTTGATAATTTTTTATATTGTAATTTCACGTATTTTTAGGCCCGTTATTACAGTACAAAGTTTGAACCACCCAAAAAGGAAAAAAAAACTTCTGTGGAGTTATCTGCTAATATAAAAAAATTCTTAGCTAAAAAGGAAGCAGAGGAAAAGAAGAAAGCTGAAGAGGATCATAAGAAACGGGAAGAGTTATTGGCACTGCGATCCCAGGTGAAGAGTTATCAAATAAATATGTATATAGGTACTTATTGAGAAATGGGAGTATTGAGACAGTTCATTCATTCACCATACACTCAGTAACCAGTGGCCTACTTACAGATTAATTACAGCTCATATGGTATAAATTGATGAAAACAGTATTTCAAACTTCTGTCCCTTATTCATGAATTTATTCAGTGAGTCAGTACATCCCATTTTGGTTGAGACTGCAATGTTTCTCAGTTGTTATTGAATATAGAGCATTGCGGTTTTCACATTCTCATCCTACTTTTTTGTGAACTTATGATGGCTGAATCCCAGACTCAATAGGATTTTGCATAACTATTTTCATTTATACTATACATATGGCTTCATATCTATGAAGGGTACTTTTGCACTCATTATGTGAAGGGTTTTTCTTGAAAAATTTTTTTGGTACTTTTGTCTGAAAAACCCGAATTTGATAATGAAAATGTGAACAAACCACTATTTATCAAGTTATTTCAAGAAGTTCAAAATTTTGCCTTCTTTTCCCTCTTGTATTGGATGCATTTACTGGTACTTGCTCTTTTTATTTTGTCATTGGACACTTTATAATATACTCATGATGTACTTCAATGACACATTTTGAGATAGAAAATTCCACAGGAAATATGATTTTTATGGTGAGTTTTTCCTATTTAGTGAGCAAGCAAACCAGATGACACCCTTTAACCAAAGGTGGATATTAACCCATAGGCAATCCAAGTAGGAGATGTTGAAAGTCAATAGATTGCTTTAGAATATATATTAGATATTCTTCCTTCTTTTCACTAAACATGGATAAATCACAAGAAAATCATATTTCTAGTTGACTCATATAATAAAAAAATGTGTCCAACATTGTGTGATATATATATAAATTGTCCAATGTTGGAAAAAGAAGGGCAAATTGTTCTAAATGCGATCCAGAAGACAGGCGAACAAGAAGGTGAAATGTGTATCTTTTTAGTGAAATATCTCAATAAATAATGGTTTGTTCAAATTTTCATTATCAAATTCGGGTTTTTCAGATAAAAACACATAAATACCAAAAAAAAATTTTTGAAAAAAAAATAACAATCACATGATAAGTGCAAAATTACCCTATGAAATTATAAGAAATGATATTGCACTGAGCATAATGTCTAAAAGAGAATTTTGTGCAGAATCCAGTGGCATACTCAAATTTAAACTGGCCCCCTCTCTTTATCTCAGCTATTAGTCATGTGATTCTTGTGGACATGTATGTTTGTATGAATAACCATTAATATGATCAGTTTTTCAGAGATGAACATCCTTTTGAACAGTACTGTGTGTTTTTATTGAAATAAATCAATTTTTCAAGAAGTCTTCAGAGTTTTTTTGCAGGAAAATAACTTCATATTATTGTTCCTCATTCCTCAATCTCTTCTCATTTTCTGCCTTGAAAAAATATTGAATTCAAATCAACTGCAAATTTTGGTACATTCAAAATCTGTGCTAGGTAAAAATTCATGAGAAAAGAAACACATGATATACTTTCTTTGTTGAACTCACCATTCTCCAGTAAATAATTATTTACCTTTGCAAAAATGCTATTCAGATGTGCCTGTTTTTTTTGAAGCCCTTCATAGAAATTATATGAAAATTCACATATTATTATGTGACTTTGAAACCATGAGGAACACTATTATGAAGTCAGTTTTTGTGTAAAAAAACTGCCAATTATTATTTTATGAATGATGTTGTATCTGAAAAACTAATCATATTGATGATTATTCATACTCACATGCCTAATAGCTGAGATATATAGGGGGGGGGTCTTTTAATGTGAGACATGCTGTATAATACTTCATACAAAGGGTCTCAAGAAATGCTAAACATGACTAAAACATCAGATTAATATGAAATTTGCTGAATTCCCATTTGTGATGTTTTTATAATCAGATAAGATGAAAACATAAACTAACACTAATTCACTTGCATGATTCCTAAAAGTAAACTTTCAATCCAAGCCTGGAGTTGGGAATGTTTTGGGACTGGCGCAGTGGAAGAGCGCCCGTCTCACGACCGCAAGGTCGTGGGTTCGGTTCCCAGCACGAGCAAGGAAATTTTTTCAATATTTTATTTATGAATTGAATATTGTAAAGTTTCTGAGCATCGGCTGGGGATAGTCCTGCACGATTTGCTGTTGCCTTCCAATTAACAGTGCTGCTCCTAAAGTGGCACATGGAGTTAGTAACAAAGACTACACAGAACACGCAGAAAGAGATGATGATGTGGTTGTGAGCATCAAAAGAGAAGTAGGACGGTGTATGTAGGTGGGTGTGGAAAACGTATCAGCTGAGCGTGAGAGCGGGCCAGCTGCTCAGTGGACCTCGGTCTCTAACGGGGGTTAACAAGGATAGCTAGGCCTGCCACTGCAGCATATGATCGTGAGTACATTACTAGCCTACAAAACACAGCTGAAAAACTCTGAAAGAGAGCTGATGGGCGGTGCCTGAAAAGGATGTTAGCCAGCTCTCTTAAGCGAACCACATCAGTCATTGAAAACACATTGGGGCTTGCAAAAAGGTCCCATTAGGGAATAGTTGCTGACGTGCAAACGTCCCCCACCAGTACCAGTAGTGGGAATGTTTTCCCATAGTTTTCATGTCATTGGGATGCCAGATGGTGACCTTGGCTACCGCGGAATTTATGATAATATACAGGGTGTCCCTGAAGGGTCTGTACAAAATCTCACCACATATTCCTGAGTTCCAAATTGCTCCATTTCCGAGATACAGGGTGGTAAAGTTAAAAAATGAAGATCGAATTTTTCAAACTCAAAAGTATCACTTCAAAAATTGGTGACCAAGGGCTTTTTGGGATGCAAAACCTGAATATGGACTATTAGAGGGCACTTCTTATGGTTTGGAATCGTCATTACTGTTTTCTCAGTGTAGTTTTTAAATTGTTTCGTTGGGTAAATGTTTTTCTGAATATTTTCAAGCAAAAAAGGTGCCCTTGTGAAAATTCACTTAACTGCGCCGTTTTTCAGATATATTGGTTTTTAGTGTTCAAGGTGGCGCCTGAATATTTAAATTATCTTGAATAAAAAATGTTTGCTGTTATCTTCATGGATGTAATTTAGTCAGTGAATGAGCAGTGCAAAAATGGATTTTTCAAAACACTGTATTGGAGTGTGCTTGCCAATTTTTATTTTTTGAATTTACTACCCTGTATCTCGAAAACGGAGCAATTTCGGACTGAGGTAAGTTGCTTTAAAATCAGCTTATTTTGAACTCAGGACCATGTGCTAAGATTGTGTACAGACCTTTCAGCGACACCTTGTATAAATCATAATACATATGAGTTGAACTTGGTACATCGACGACCCACTAGCAGAAATTCATCATAATTTATTGTTTTAGTTCTTTTTCAGTGTTTCTGGAAACCCTATGTATATACTGTCATCCATCATTATGAAGAGAAAAAAAAAGGGAATTCAACGAAATAATATACAACACATTGAAAACCAAATATTTGTGTCATTTCTCCAAAACCGAACCCACAAAGGAATTTTTGAGTGCGCCATTGATTTCTACTCAAACTTCTCTGTAAGACATAGTGCTTATCACAACATTTTTCTGTATATTTACGTAGATATAGGAGAGGTATTGATTTTCTTCGGGATTTTCTAAATTGCTCTGTAACTTCAAAACAGAAACAGTTATGCAAAATCTGATTATGCCATCTTGAGATTCTCAAAAAAGTAGGACAGGAACGTGAAAACCCCAATGCTCTATCATCAATACCAACCACCATTAGCATTACCTGTTATAGTATTTTGGTGAAGGTGGTGGGAGGCAGCTACGTAATAATGATCAACATTAACCATTTTTGAATTCCTATTTCTTTCACTTTACCCAGTTTACCTAGTTATAACCTCAGGTCGTTATTTTGAATCCAAAAGAAGAAATATTTGTTGTTGTAGTATTTCGGAAGACTGTACTCCGAGAATCCTAGTAATTTTATTAGGAACAAAAACTACACAAATCGTTCTTCAAAAATCTATTTGACAACTACCTAACAACATCACAATTGTTCCTTACCCAAGGCAACCTTATTCATATACAGAGCGATAGATATATATTATATTCTCAATATACCACAGTTGTTTATCTATGTTTCATTGTCATTGTGTAAACCTAATTGATCATGACTATAAAAATAGAAAATGAAAAAATTGAGTTGTGTGCAACCTTGTTGTTCATGATGGAGGATTTGACCTCTGTTTCATCATTAGAAGGAAGACAGATTACTTCATTTGATAAAAGAGATCGAATCATCAAAGTATTGTCACAATCACTGCTCTGGTAGGTACCAGGTGTCATTATTTCAGGAATCGTCATTCCTTTGAAACCTGGATAGATTTATTACCTGAAATATCAGATTTCTATAGCATGTGTCCGATGAAGTAAGATAGTTGGAGCCATATAGCAAAGAATAGTATAGGTTCTCCTCTTTGCATAAGGATCCAGAACATTTTGTTGAAGGAGCTTGTCATCTGGAAATATGAAATTACCTAAATACATATTCACTTTCCTAATCCCTACCCTACTATTTCGCAACCTTTGTATATTTGTCCGTGTATCTCGTTCATCCACATCCACTCTATTGATTTGAAATTTGAGTGTTTCCATAATATTCTCCATATTTCACTTCGTGAACAAATCTTCAACTTCAACATTATAACCACCTTTACCAACGTTGGAGTTGATAAACCCAAGGGCAGGTAGGGGAGGTCTACCACAACGGAAATGACGTCACGGTTAAACACAATGAAATGGGATTATCAGCCTCCAACCATGACGGGTAATGTGACCTAATTATCCCACTGAGAAAACTGGCATTCTCAACCGAAATGGTATGCACTGACCCATATGTGTAGGTGAAATAGTACAGAATACTCTCGATTATTTTCTTATGATTTTAAACCAATCAGAACGTTCAAATGAGTGAAGCGACCTTGTATAATTTCGAATATATGTGGATAGGTATACATAGAGTAGTTTCACCAATAAGAAATTTTGAACTATTTACATTTCTATAGCAACCAATTCATATTGTTACATACAAACAAAGCGCGTCGTTAAATTTTGACGTTCGTTCAGAACTACTAAAGAAATAATCGCATCCAATACAATCCAAACTTCCAATTCTTCCAGGTTATACATCTCAAACTTCCTGCACAATTACAAATCATCTCAGTTTAACAGAATAATTCTCTCTCTGCGTGGTCGGATTATTTCAACTGTTAAAGTGACACTCAATTATGCAACCAGTTATCAATGTATATCCCGAATATTTTTAAGTACTTATAGCTATTGAGAATACCGGACAGGGGTATTTATGGTAGGTATTATGCAGAGCATCCCATGTTGGTTGATACTTTCTGAATTTTTTCTAACTAGTTTTTTTTATAATTCTTAGTTTCGAGATATCTAACAAAATTCATTTTTGGGTCGAAGATTATGATTCTTTCCTCAAAACTTGAAAATTCAAGATGGCGGATCCAATTTCGCGGACAACTTTTGTAATTATGATCCGCTTCTGTTCAAAATTGCTATCTAGGGATTTTCGGGTTCGGAGATTATGATTCGTTCGTCAAATTTTGGAAATTCAAGATGACAGATCCAATACGGCATACGAATTCATTAATTATGATCCGATTCTATTTAAAATTGGCGTTAAAAAAAATATTGTTTCGAATAGCTAATGAATGCTTTCATAGAGAGCCAAACTAAATTGAAGTAGAAAATTAATAGTAGTGTAGATAACTAAAGTGATAAGAAATTTTGAAATGTGAAGCTCGGTTATTGCTTCAATTTTGATACATGACTTTTTTTTTGTATCTCTCAAGACATAAATCGAACTCTGGAGTCTTAGTTGGCCACCCTGTACAGGGTCTTCAGGTATATTTTGAACCCCCCCTTAACTATTTTATTTATCATAGAACTTTTTTTTCCAATGAACAGTCTTTTATAATTTTTCCTGTAGAATTTGAATATGTTAACAGAAAAACAATTGAACATCTCAAAAAAAAGTTATGGGCAAGATGCATAAATTATTAGATGGAACACCCTGCATTTTATCGCATTTTTAGATTCTCCCTGAAAAGCTGATTTTATCGATCTATCACAGTTGGGGTCTAGCTGAAATGATTATAGAGATATAGGGTGTGTAAAATTGAGATTTTTTCAACTTTGGTAATTTTTGTGTCGACACTATTTATTATTGGCCAAAACGGTTTTCATGTCCCTATCTTAACTTTTGATTTACTACCTACTGCCATCTATCTATCTATCTACTTGCCATGATTATAACCCATGTATCTTATAAATATTTTTCTACAAACGTCAAAAAATGACAAGAAACGCGCATTGATAACAAATTGCGAAGTGACACTTTTTTTTCAGTTTCCTACGTTACCATGCTACCTTGCACAAAACAATGCGCGAAGTAAAACAGTGCACGAAGTACCTACTTCGCGCATTGTTATGTAAAATATATGAGATATTTATATTTCAACTTTATGGTCCTCAATCGAGCAAACATCCACGAAATCATTTATTTCTGAATGTTCAACAATAACTTTGTTTTATCTCTTGGAGCGCACGAAAGGAAATTCGTATTATGTTCGTGGAACATCGTGCGTACCTAGGGAGGATAGGGGGAGGCCTTTCAAGTCAGGTCAACACTATTTTTTATATTATCAAGCTAAGCATATTTTTACTTTAGAACTATATTTTTTGACGTTTGTAGAAAAAATTTTGAAAAGGAATATTCTCAGATAAATTATGAACATACAAAAATGGATATATATTTATATAAAGCAATACATTGAGAATTCACATTCTCTATGTGATGAGAATATTTACTCTTTCTCAGTTGATTCAATAGAAAACAACTACTTTCCTGGCTATATGTATGTTCATAATTTATCTGAGAATATTCCTTTTCAACACTTTCATACCCAATCAGGGGGTTCAAACTTGAACGATGGAAACTTGTGATTTTTATAGACTTCTAATCGCAGATTCGTGATAGAGTCTCAATTCAGAATTTCTTTCCACGCACTGTACGATGAATGTCAATTCATCATACACCCAAAAGAAAAATTTTGTTTGCAACTCGAACGCGAAATACTTTGGTCATCTCGACTATTTTTTCTACTCGGCTACGCCTCGTTAAAAAAGTCAGATCTCGATCACCAAAGTAGCATTTCGCGCTCTAGATAGAAAAATCACTATTTAACATCGAAATTTAACATATTTGACCGTCCGCCCCTGTTGTTAGCCACGGGGCCGCGCTGGCAGACAACCCAATTTGAACTTTGCAATAAGAGAACTTTTTGAAATAGGAATCAGCCATGTATTGATGACAACCTTTTTTATGTAGCTAGCTCTCCGCCTATTATATGCATTGTAAATTATGTATTACTATTCATTTGTTGTTTTCAGGTACCTACATTCTATTGATCACATAGGTGAATTAGTGTTAGTATCCGACTAGGCGTAAAGTTAGCACTTTACCCGCGGATTACTTTATCGCCCAGTATAGTACCATTATTTTATATTATTGAATAATGAAAAATTTGGCTTTTTGCCTAAATTTGATTGATTGTCTAAATGCCATATTCAGAATTATTTCACTATTTCACTAATTTTCGGACCAAATAGAAAATTCTATCAAAAGAACTATTATTTTTGTAGAAAACTTCCTTGAAACCAAAATCTATAATAACTCATGTATGGGGGTGCAATAACAGTTCTGCAGAAGTATTTAATTAATTCTGATAAAAATATCATCCTGTAAGATTCATGCATGAGATTATGACATGATATAGTGAATGGTCCTGAATACCCCAATGTTATGTAATAGCATGAAATAGCAATAGTAATAAGGCTATCAAAAACGACAAAAAATTAATTCTACATGTAATAATTATGAAACAGTCAAAACAGATTTCGAGACAATGAAAACAATTTGGTCTACAGCAGTTTTGCATCATTGAGAGTTATGGCGAATTCATGCACAAATTAACTTAGGGTCAACTCAGATATCAAATCTCAATTCACCAATCACCTTCTCTCGAGTTGACTACAGAAAAAAGTTATATATGAAGGAATTGTCGAGGGGTGAACCACTTTGGAAATACTTGTACATTTAGCTGGAAATACTGGCAATTATTAGGAAATATGATAATATTCCGGCAATACACGGTATATTTTGGGAAGATATCCAATATGAAAGGAATACAGGCAATATGAAGGAAATACAGACAAATTTTAGGAAATACATGCAATATTTTAGAAATACGGGCAGCATGAAGGAAATAAAGGCAATATGAAGGAAATACAGGCAATATGAAGAAAATACAGGACATTTCTAGGAAATACCAGCAATACATAGGCAATACATGAGAATATTTCGCCACAATCTCTGGTATACCAAACCTTGCAAATATTTCCTTCAATTTCTGAATATCTACTTTTTCGGTCATACTCGACAAAGGAACAATCTCAATAAATTTCAGTTATAATTGAATACCAAATGTTATACTTGAAAAGATCTACTGCCACCTTCTCCCACGGTCTTGGTGGAATTGTATCTTTAGCAAAGGTTTCCTTCATATTTCAACACATTTTGAACAAGAGGGTACCAGATTTTCTATATCTGAGGAAAGACCAACCCACCAAACAGACATTTTCGCACGCTCACGAGATTTTGAAATACCTTGATGACCTGAATGAATATAATCAAGAGTTTTTCGTTGTAGACTCGTGGAATAATTATTCTACTTCCTTTAAGGAGATGATCTTCAAAACACGAACTATCATATCTATATTGATAATATGGGATTAAATTGGGCAAAATTATGTGTTTTTCAGGCCAACCATTAATTGCAAAGTGTTTCAGCTTTTGACAAACAACATCGAAATTTGGTCTCTGGTGGTGATGTTGATGTAAAATTAAAATGTAATATATCATTATGTTCCTAAGCGTTCAGCTTTCCAAGAACTAATTGATGACTATTCAAGAATATCAATAATTTGGTAGTGTAATTTGAAAACAATACTTTGGGGTGTGAGGGTGTGTTCAGATGTGTGTTTTTTGGATGGTTGTTTCAACTTATATACAACACACTTTCCCGCTCTAAACCAGTTTTTCGTTCATAAAGCTACCCTTGTTGTTTTGTTGTGTTTGTGACAACCAGGATACTATTTATCCTAAGCACCGAGCGATGGGTCGTTCGTTGTCGGTAAAATGAGATTGATACTTTCAAGGTGGGAATATATCAAATGTGCCCTTATATTTATCAAGAAACATTGATGTTTCGTTAATGTCCAATGTCCGCCCCTATGCGCGGCCCCGTGTTTTGCTACTGAATAAGGTTGACCTGGTCTTTCAGTATTCTGGTTGATCTACCGCTGTCCCACCTCGAAACGTCCACAACCCCGATCAAAATATTCTATCAATTCAATCAATAAGTTTTATTCTGGACAATATAGGACAAGAAGGCCACCCGCCGCGTTAATGTTATGCTGAAACGGACGAAATCCGCCAATCAATCGGTGATAGAGGACGCAGTGGACAACGACAACACTGCGGTGACTCTGGCAGGCCCGATGCAACCAGACGAAGACGATTATGGGTACGTTTCCCAGGAAGCCTCCGCGTTTTACAACCAAATGATGGAGAAATACAACAAGATGCCCGACGAACCGAAATTCGACATGACGAAGAAGAAAGTCAGCACGAATTTGAGTAGCACGAAAGATCGAGTTAGGGCGGCACTCGAAAGAGAAAAAGAGGAAGCGATGATGCCACATAAAAGGAAACGGAAACATAAAGAGAAAGAGGAAGATGAGGATGGAGTTAGCTATGATGCCCCTGATAGAGAGCCAGAGGATAAAGAAAAAGAAGTTACTAAAGAAGTGCCCAAGGTTAAACCTAAACCAAAGATGATGCCACCACCTATAAATTTTTCAGGTAAAACTCGAGTTTGATTTCCTTCAAAATGTTTCCCCTATCTGTTTATTAATTTTTTAATGGCTGGGCCCTTTCTTGAGAAACGTTATCCAATGGTAGTTAAGACTTTTCACGTCTATTGATCGATCGAATCTGTCATAGAAATTATTTATATTAAATTTCAACTGTTATTTCCCTGTTATTTCAACTGTTATTTCCCTGAGAAATGGCACAGCTGTTATTTCCCTGAGAAATGGAGTGAATTGAATAAAAGTTAAATTGAATTCTGTGAATGTATCAGAGTGAAACAAATATATGAATTCTTAGGATGAATTCAAATTGAATATAACTTATAATATCCACTATAATATGGTTCTACTAACGATTCCTCATGTAACCGTGAACTCATTTCTCTGCATTTACAAAAATCCTCTGATCTATTGTTGAGAGGAGTCAATTGATACCATATTTTAAACGTCTTTCATTGGTCTCTTGAATCATAGGATAACAAAAAAAATTACATCCCTGAATGCCAAGTATCTACTGCAGAAAATAAATCATTAGATGGTCAAAGTGCTTTAAAATATAATGGTTACTCTATTTAAAATTGAAAAAATTTTTGTGACTAGTTTTGGCTCAACGGCCATCTTCAGACACCTTGAAATGCCTGTAAAGATTAGAAATTACAAACAGACAATGAACTACTGAGGAAAAACTAACCTAAGGAGTTAAGATAGGAGGAGATAAGTTCAACTAAAAGCTAGGTCAAAAACCTGAAAAATAGACAGGTAATTGAGTATATTGTTCTTTGAATCGACTAAATAGCCAAAACAACAAGTCAATAATAAGATTCAACATCAGTAAGAGCACGAATTGGAAATTTGAAATTATAAATCGAAATTCACTCAATAAGAGTTTCATCATCACTGGTGGCCATTCGACAAAAGCCAAAAGCAAAGAATAGTTAAAACATCAGAAAGTGCAGAATGACATGACAGAATAACATGACATAATGACTGCGTGACAAGTGATACAAACCAAATGAAAATACTAAACTGTATGACCTAACTAATATTGAGCAATATTGTAGCTAGAATGATTACAGGTGAACGATATATCAATTGTTAAACGTTAAAATTAGTAGATGAGAAACAGATTAGGTTGAAATTTGATAAATCAGAGAAGAAGTAGAGGGAACAAACAGAACCGGACTAAGTTGAATTATAACAAGGTAAAAATTAATCATGAGAACTTTAATGTGCGAAAAATATAGTTACGTTCAGAATTGGTTTGGTCATAAGACAAGTGACATTTGGGTTGTTAATACATTTTTGAATTTCAAAAAATGAGATTCAGCCGTGGACCTTTATTTCAAACATGAATAATATCCATATTGGAATTCATATCAAAAGAATGGTTGGAATCAATGATATGATTTGCAAAGGTAGTAGGATTATCTGAATTGAGAAATTTGTGAATGAGTCTGTATAAGAAGAGTTACAATCATTACAATTCAATCTCTGTACACCTGACTTTTTTGTCTCAGGAATTTCATCTTTGGAATCAAAAAGTAAATGTTTAAGATTGGAAGAAGTATTGTAGAAAACGTTAAAATTGAAATTTTTGAAAATCTTGGCAATTTGTACCGAATAATTACCGAAAAATGCAGAGATTTGAAAACCGGATGATCAGGAACGTGACATTGAAAGTTAATCTAAAACGGGTGTAAAATTTGAAATAAACATGTTGAACAACAGTTTACCTAAAATTCATTCGTCTATGGAACGGCAGAGCTGTGGAATTCTTCGCCAGGGGAAGTATTCCGAAAAACTTATAACCTCCAAAAGTTGAAAAAAAAAACTATCCAACACCTACCTTCTCTCCCTAACCTCCCTAGGTACACACGATGTTCCTCGAACATCATAGGAATTGCCTTTCGTGCGCTCCAAAAGATGAAAAAAATAAGTTTCATGCATTTCAATTTCAGAACTTTTGAAACTAGCTGAGAAAAAACAATATGAACCAATAATCATTGAGAAAAAAGAGAAAGAAGATGAAAAACTTCTTACAAAGAGACAGAGGAGAGATGCAGAAAAGGAGAGGGAGTTTCTAAGAAGACGTGAAGAAAGAAGAAGAGACATAGAAAGAGGTAGAATACCTAAAAAAGTAGAATCAACAACTAAACTCACAAATAATGGTGAAAAACAGATTTCTAAATCAAACAAATCCAGTTCTGCTGATAGAATACCTGAAATTAGTGACCACCCAAGTGCCAAATCATTAGGAAGTTCTAAACCATCAACTGATTCCATCAAGAAACAAACACAGTCAGATAAATTTGTTAGTAGTAAAGAAAAATCAAGAGGCTTAAGTACTTCTGGTGCCAGTAGTTCTTTTCAGTCTGGGAAATTTAAAAGCAAAGATGCTCAAAAGGATAGAACTGGATTTGAAGAAGAAGAGAAGCCTGGAAAGAAATATTTACCTGGTGATTTGAGGTATAAACCAGAGCCAAAAGTAGAAGTCAAACCTACTAAACAACTCCCAGGTATGTTTATGAAATGGGATTTTACTATTTAAATTTTGTTTTGTCTTTATTTGTACTATTTATTTTCTGCCCCAGAATATTATCACAATGTCTCAAAAACTGAAAGTATTAAGAAATAACAGAATTTTGGAAATTGAATGCTCTGTACGTCGGTAAAGAAGCGTCTACGGACACATAAATTCGGCTAAGGCAGTCAATCTACCTTGCTGCCGAGTTGAACATATAATTTTTTCTCCGATTGTTCATAATGATATTGGAGGATATTGTAATTGCAAATTATTACAATTCCCACAATCTCTTTATATTTCCTGTAGTGTTCAATTAAAATGAAATTTGATAGAAATCGCAGTTGTCCATGATAATTATAGTTTGACAATTCATGAAAATTCTGACAGTTGTGCGAAAAAATATCGGTATATTTAAATTATTATATAATGGACAGTGATAGCGACCTGGAAGTACTTACACCTCCAGAAATAAGGGAGGTAGCAAAAAATATAGAGTTGAATTTGTTGCCGGAGAAGTCTCGAATGAAATATGAAGGAAATTATAAACAACTTATGGATTATTAATTTTGCTGATACATATCGATCAGCAAAGTAACCACTTTGCTGCCTAGGCAGGAAAAGTAATACTTTGCTGATTGATATGTGTCAGCAAAATTAAAATTTGCTGCCAATCGGAGAAAAACATTTTTTTTTACTAAAATATCCGTCATTACAATCTTGATACTGTATTTTGAAACAATCTGTATGAATATCATTTCGTTATATGATATACAGTATGGTCATTTGAGTATTTAACATGAAAGTCATGAAAATTGAGTGCACAATCAAAACACAAAAACTGCCGAAATATGTTTCAAGTCAATCAACATACAGGATAGATCAAGTAATATAAAATTTCACAATGGTGAAGGAGGTACTTTTATTTCTGAAAATCCAGTAAAATGTTAGGATTGACAATTTGTTTAGAATCAAAAGTTAAGCCTCTATACCACCCTCAACACTTTGGCATATTTTTTTTGTAAAATCAACTTGAATTTTAAATTTCTTAGGGCAACGATATTCAAGAGAACTTTGAAATGTTGTGAAAATATTATCTGATGATTCATTTTATTTGCTATTTTGTTTTTCGAAATTGTATAGTTCATAGCGGCACGGGGCGTGTTTTGCCATGACACATTTTGCACCACGATAAATTCTCAAAAGGTGTTTTCAATTTGTCATCTTTCTTTCTGTCCTTTCTGATTACTAGGCTGAATCGATACAAAATATCATACTTTTCGAGAAAAAAATCAGAAATGTCTCCAGCAGTACTTAAATTATTTACTTCCTATTTCTTTACAGATTATGCCTTATATGATGAAATGATGTATTAATTCTCTATATTTACTATATGTTCATATACAAAAAGTCTAACTTCAGCTTCAATACTATGTTCATAATCTTTCTATTTGAATTTTTATTTTCATGTAATAATGAATTTCCAATGAACATTACGTTGAGTCAAAAGTTATCATATCCCATTGGTCAACCGATACTCAAACACCCTACTATGATTAAACATCAAGGAACATTTCAGATGTCATTGATAAAGTCGGATCAAGTTAACTCTTTGACAACAGGTGGTCACGAATGCGTTCAATATGCTCAAGCGTTGCGTCACGTGATGTCACAAAGTTAACGTGGTAGGACGAATTGCAAAAGTATCAGGTGAACTTTGTGTTCGATATCTTCAGGTACAATTCATTTTGTTATTGACAGGAATGTTATTTTCAATTTCATTTTCTTTTTTATCACCCATTTCATTCAACGTCCCGATATTGGAAACACCTTGTATATCCACAGAACCCTCTTGTTCAAAGTCAATGAATAATATTCATTGATTTTGGAATTTTTTTCAACGGTTTTAGTGGAGTAATGAACAACGGTACACGTCACATGCATGAACTATTTTCATGCTTTCAAAATGGTTATTTCATTGATTGTCAATGTACAGGGTCAATCATTCTTCCAACTTTGACCGTTTACATCTTCCGTTAGCGAAAAGCTATCACGTTGCGGTTTTCGTTGGTCTGTTGAGATTTAGTTTCTCTATTTCATGGTGTAATAATATGCATACAATTACATTTATTATTTTCAAATCACGATATCCATTGATACTCTAGATCACGCCCTCTATGATACCAATTCAAATCACAGTTGATAGAACAGGAAGACGCTTTTACAACGAGCCCAAGATTGTTGAATTCTGTTGACCAGAGTTACAGACGTTTAGAAAAAAACATAATTTGACGTTCCCCCACCACTTAATTTCTCGAGGTTGGACAAAAAGTGCGAAACAATAAAATACTAGGAATATCAAGGATCAAACTGCATATATTTTCAGTACACCTTGTTACCCCAATTTTCTCTATACTTATAGCCGTTACGCCACCTAGCGGTTATTTTAGAAACCTGAAATTATTCTCCAGCTTTTCATGAGGGTCACTTTTCTTGAGATATTTTTTCAAAGTTGTACGGCCGACAGCCGTTAGTTGATCACCCTGTACTGTAAATCAAAAGTGAAACAGCTTTGTATGAGGCATTGTAAACCACTGAAAATTTTAGAATATCAAACATAGATTTGAACAATGTCTAAAAACCTACCACTTTTAGAAGAAGCAAGATACAAGCAGGGTCAAGACGTGAGGCAGAAACAAGGACAAGAAGATGTAAGGTATAAACAAAAACAGGATGAAGCGAGACTCAAACAGAGACAAGAAGAAATTAGGAACAAACCAAGACCGGACGAGGATCCTCGTCCGAGGAAATACCTGCCAGGGGATGTTCGATACAAACAGGAAATGGAACCCAAAAGATTCCCTCCCAATGACATCATATCCAGAAAGAATGCGCTCTCTTCCAAGAACCCCAGCACTGAGACCCAATTGAAAAAAACATCACAAAATGACACTACCACAAGGAAACCTCTGGCCAATGGTAATCCTCCTAAAAAAATTACAGCTGGTGATCCGGGTTCCAGGAATGGTCCCGCCAAACAATTTCCACCAAGAGACTTGAAACCTTTGAAGCAGAAGCAGTTCCCTCCACCAGATGTTAGGAGGAACGATGTTCAGGCCATAAAGAAGAAACCGGCCATAGGAAATAAACGTGAGTTTTGTGTTACCATTTCGTGTCGATAAATGAATTGAGTGATAGTGAATGCTAATCATGAATGGTTCACTAAAAATCCGCTTTTTCTTGTAGTAAAACATTTATTGAAATGGGGTACACGGGCATATGCGTGCATGGGTTTCTTATTCAAATATTATTTTTTTTGATAACATATATTTTAAATATGCCATTTTACCACTGAAAATCCTATTCAATAATTGAATATTAGGTTATTCCTAATTGGTGTTATAATTATTTTGAACATTCCGACCAACAGCCGAACGAATCTGTCTAACAATTTATCGAAAAATATAATGAGTGGCACACCACCGCGAATGAGTTTTTCATCATTAAGCTTATCATAAGTAATATCACAATGTTCTGAATATTCCAGATAACTCTGCCGCTTCATTGTTGCAGCAATACTCAATACAATTGATCGGCACCACAATTGAGTTGAGAATTAAAGAAATAATTATGAGAAGATATTCAGAACAGAGTGGTATTTGGCTAGACTATTTCACGTTCACGAAGAATAAACAGCATTTATTTTAAATGAGTTGATTCATTCTGACAAGTACAGCCATCATTATTTTATGCCAAACTGACAGACTTTGCTTTGCTAAACAAGGTTACATCGTTGAAAACATCAACGCTGATAGACCAATCAAAATTGAAAGACAGCGCTAATATTTTCGCAATAAGCACACGTTGTCTCTGGTTTGTGATTGGTTAGATTATATAATGAGTGAAATAGTCGAATCAAAACTAAAAATCAAACTGTTACTGTCGGTCAAAAACGAATTCATATATTGAAAAACTGAAGTATATATAGTTCAGGAGACCAGCCATCATCTGATTGAATGAAAGTGTTGGTAATTTAGATACCTTGAAAGATTGCACATTGACGTGAACAATATTCGTGAAGACAAAATATTACCTACTAACCTACTAACCTTAGCACAGTTGAAAATTGATTATTCCAAGTAGCAAAATACACAATTTCAGTATTAAGAATACACTTTTTTACAACTAACTAACCAAACCGATTTATTATACGCCTCTACGCTTGTTTTGATAACTATGTTAGCATCTTCAGGAGAAGATTGAATGTTTCATTTGATGTTCAAATTAGTGATTGACGTTTTAATCTTCTCTCATAGATGCTAACGTACAACACCAGTCGAGGCGAATATAAAATTGATTAGTGATAAAACAGTGTAGTGTGATTCTCGTGCCAAAGGTTCCAGTCTTCGATATTTCAGTATTTGGGTTTGTTGAAATGTGGATAAAGTTCGTTGAAACCAAACGTTTAGTGACTTCAGCCCTTTTCTACCTTGAACGAGAGAGAGAGGAAAGTTATCTCCTCCATCATTCTCTCCAATGCTACTTTTTTTATAGAAATATAGAGAGATCCGATGAATCTTTCCTTGTCTAACATATAATCTGCGTTACTGAACTATTTTTCATGTTATAATGATGTGATATGTCAATGTCATGAATGATAACCTTTCGAATTTTTAAAATGATCTTTCAAGTTTATCGTACTTATTTTGATATCATTTGTTAATATCGTTAAATTTAACACGCAGCTGAATTAAAAAATAGTTCAGTGGCACAAACTACATGTTAGACAAGGAAAGATTTATCGGACCTCTCTATTTCCATGCGGCCACGTTGGTAGCATTGAAGAGGAAGGTGGAAGAGGAGAGAACTCTTCTCCCTCTCGTTCAAGGTAGAAAAGAGCCCAATTGAAAAGTGCAGGCAGTAGAAGCAAAAGGTGTAGGTATGCGAATATTACTAAACACTGGTTCACTGTTATGAACTATTATGACCGACTGGAATGTGCAGTTGCTTGATTTCCACTTATGAAAACAGTTTTGTTATTATAATTGACATTCAGGATAATAATTGACATAGGAATCTATATTTTCATCCTAGATCTCATTGAATAAAATATTGGACCTTGTTCACTCACTATCAGATAGTGCCACCTGTCATCAGAGTAGATGGCTGGTAGGTCCATTAGGTACGTAGACTGTAACGTAGAGATTTCACGTGACCGCTATAGCTGACAGCGATGTGCAGTGTAGCCCACACAGAAACCCACTTTTGATCTGAGCCACTAGATGGCGATAACATGACGAAGTCAACATGTAAATAGGCCTATTTCAGTGAAACATTTTCATTCATTATTTTGAAATACTAATCAAAACTAGTTCACTATCGCAAACAATTGTCTCCTTGAAGCTCTGTACATTTTCTGAATAATTATTGAAATTCAGAATATTTCATAACATGAAGAACATGGGACAACGCATGACGTCATATGTTGAGACAACTATGGTAATAAAAGTTGCGTTTTATTTGTTCCATTCTGGTAGCGGTGGTGGGAACCGAATGACGTTTACAAATAAAACGCAAATCTTCGTGAACTTGCATGGGAGAATTTACATAAGAGGTTATACAGGGTGTTTCACAGGTAAAGGGAAATATTTCAATGGTAGATAGGGGTCACCAAGGTGGTTCTGAAAATACCATATTTGATAGGTCTTACAGTTTTGATAACGGAGATACAGGGCGATTTATCGATTTCGAATAATTATTCATTCATCTATAAGTATTGAACTACCCAGTATATTTTTCTAAAATTTGGTATGGAGCTTAAACTTGGGACGTTGAATGCATTCACCTATCGGGCGAAGTGAAAATCCAGGTTCGGCTTCAGGAAAAATTTACATTTATTCGAAATATTAAAATAACACACTGTATGTAATAATTGACAAAGTTCATCAAAGGAATCGTGAAGAGGAGGAAAAACTGAACTGGAATTGATGCTTTTTGTTTTCCCGCCACCAATTCTCATCTTAACAATCATAAACAGGAAGCTAAAAGTATGTCAATTTCAAGAGTATTAAAATTATGTAACCACTTTCAATTATGATTATTTGATATATTCTTGTTAAATGATCGTTCGAAAGAACTAACTTAGTCTCACAGTCTTTATAACAAAAATACAGGGTGAATTATCACTCGTCCAAAAGTATTAAACTACCCATCGCAGTAATATTTTCAAAATTTGGTATTGAGCTTACTTGGGACGATGGATTGATTCATTGACCTATCAGGCAGAATGGAAATACAGGTTCAGCTTCAGGAAAAGTCTCATATTCTTTATGACAGAGATGCAGGGTGAATTATCGAATTATAATTCCGCCTGATAGTGTAGCATTTGAATTTGCTACAATATAATATTAGCTAATTATTTTGATGAAACTTATCAAATTACAGTAGAGTAGCACTGTGGTGTGCTAAGATTTGTTTTTATTTTTCTTTGGTGTAATAAACATAGTCTTCAAATTCTTACCTTATGAATTTGAGAAGAAACCATACTCACAGTGAACATTCAGTCTGACATATAGTAAATAATCCTTGAGTAGTAGAACATTTAATGAAACAACCATATCATATCACACACAGTTTTGAATGAGATCTTTTAACAAACAAATTCCAATAGTAGAGAACTCATTTCTTCTGATATTCTATGTGCTAATAGGAGGTGATGATGTAAGCTGCAGGAGTCTTTGATTTCTGGCGTTCTGATCCTAAGGCCCTAGAATCGAAGAAAATATTTAATATTGTAATCCATTCAAAAGTAGACAGACAACTTACCGTTGATGTTCTCCAGGGCGATAAATCCTATTTCGCTGGAATATCTCAGGATTTATGATGTTGTTCATTCTGAATTGGTTTCAATTTGGATAAATTTCTTTGTTTATTTTTGGGATAATATTTCAGGTTATATTTTCATGTGTCATCAGGATGTCACTGTCACTGTTGTCATACTGCAGTCATTGTGGACTGTCATTTGTCTTCTGTGAAGGATTTGGAGATTATTCCTATGAAGACAGAAGAAGAAGAACAATTCTTCTTAATAATTAGGGCGTAAGCATTTCTTCGACCAATAGGATTCTTGGATTTCATATTTGGCGCTGATTTGGGATTTTAACAGGAAACTTGGGTTTTTGACTAGTTAAAAGGAGGGTAGGAGAATTTCCGGCACGTACCTACCTCACTTTTTCTCGGTTAGCCATGGTGGCGTGCACTTGACCTGTGAAAAGTAATTTTGATTTTCTCGGTGAAAACCGTAGAAACCCTTAGGGGTATTTGATTTTGGGAAGCCGTTGCTTACCGGTTAGTGGATGGAATCTCCGTCAGGAAGCCAATTGTGGGATTTGTTCCTGGAGACTGCCATGAAGTTCTAGAAGCCATGCAGCCCGGCCTGTTTCAGTCCTTAAAAAGCAAGATCTAAAAAAGTCTTCAATCCTACCTCCCTTCTCAGAAGGTAAGTCACAGCCATAGCAGATTCAGCAGTGAAATCTTCGAAAATATATCCTGTTCTTCAGTTTTTTTCTGTTGTCTCCACGTGCTCTGTGTGCCCTCTCAGGAGGCTATATTCAGATTATTTCTTAGGGTGCTAGGGTGCAGCTTAGCTGTGCTTCGGACTCCTGGTAGCGACCGGCCCTCAGGATACTCTACTCTACACTTGTCAAGATCCCCCAGTGGATCTGAGTAATCCTGCAAGGTCTTCGGATCTTGGCCAGAGTCGACCATGGAGACACCAGATGGAGCCCAGTAGCAGCTGGTAGAGACTGACCCCTGGTTACACTGCATCCTGGAACTCTGCTGACCGTGGAGGTTCAGCATTCCTCGTTTGTGTTGTCTTCACCTGCAGTGACCTATGCTGCACATCTACAATCATACCACTTGGGACCTTGGATAGGGGTGATCTGGACCATTGCAGAGGACCCTTGGACCACAATCAGGTTTTTTTGTTCCACCTTCAGTGTTTCACATTTTGCTATATAATTATCTACATTTTTTTTTCACATCTGAGACTGGTTGAGTAATCACCTTTTTTTTACAGTATTAATTCACAAACTGGTGAAGCTCTTGTGAAGCTCTCCCATAGTATACTATGTGACTGCGGTTGCTTA